GACATCTGGAAGAGCCTTGGTATACAGCCTTTGCTTCTCCAGATTGAGAAGTCACAGCTGCGATGGCTTGTGCATGTGTTGCGAATGCCTTCGGAAAGGAAGGCTAAGCAACTGCTTCTTGCGAAACCGACCGCAAGTATGACCTCTCAAACTTCATCTTTTGTTCAACTCATGAACCGCTGATGCTCTCTTCATAGGAGGAACTCCATGAAATACAATGAATTATGTCGACCCCGATTACCGTTGCCCCATTACCTGAATAGCAATAGTTATTCTTCGCGATGGGCATGAGTTTACTGATAGGTTTATCGGTACGTGGTGACATAGCGTCAGAGAGGTCAGTTTTGAATTCTGGAGGGGTTGCGCTCGATTTCATGTAAGAGACAACCCTCTGAGCATGGAATTATGAATACATTGCTTCAGACATAGTCAGACGGTGATTTGTGAATAACAGTGACAATCTGGTCTGGCCATGTCATAATGGAGAGACTATTCGGTCATATCGGCCGATGTGAAGGACCATGGTGACTGCACTTCGCAATGACCCACTTGATGGCTCCAGAATAATGATCAGCACAGGGTGTAACACTGATTTCAACTTTTATAATTCACCATTTAAATCTATAGTCAGTATTTACGCGAGTCAAGAAAAATTGCAGAGGTAAGGTGGACACGTCAGACAACGTCGCTGATGGTTTCGCATGCCATGACACGATCGCGCAGAACAGCTACCCGATTGTTCAGAGGTCTGTGACCTGCTGCCAGTTTGCTACCAGCTGGTTGTATTGAAGCTCAGCGGAGTGAAGTTCTTGATTAGCAATTAATAAAAAATGTCAACCGTGCATGTGATTTTAACTTGGCACTTCCAAAATGCTCAGCTAAAGTCCAAAACTACCTACTTACTGTGTCTGCTACCCCTAGACGTTGGATTATGGAGAGTACCAGTGATTTCATATTACTGTAAATACCAAATCAAGGAAGACCATTATGCATTTTGAAACAACTGTTTAAAACAGGCGCATAGCATCGAAGGGGTTGTTTCGTTGAATGACGCTCTTATTACGAAGAAAACCGGCATTAAACCCTACTTTGATGGCAGTTCTAAAAATAATACAATGTTATTACCATTTAAATCATGAACAATGTCGAATTTATTAGAGATGCTCGAAAATGCCGATTCATGATCGACAAGACAGATCTGCCAAGGGAAATACACTGCAACCATAAGCTTGGAAGGTTAGTGCCACTGTAGAAATTTACAGAACGCAGAGCACTCCAGGCTACTACTGTAGGCGACCACAGGTATGGCCAGCAAAGAAGGTGGAGGTGAAATATCAAAATGAACATTAGAAAATTGCAACTGCGAAAATAACCATTAGAAAATGAATTAACGATTTTAGAAACCCACCTGAACTTTGTCTTCAATATATTCTAACTGAAATTGTATCTTGTAACAGTTTAGTGTGCGCGGCTGTTCGGCCTGCACGATTCGTTTGTTCTGAGGATGGGCAATGTTCTTTGGCCGTAATGGCAGTAAATCAGACTTTAACATGTGTCTACCGGCTGGCTGTATCTGCAACAATTGAATTAACTAATTAACAGGATTGGCCTGAAAAAAGAAACGAACACATGTACTACGTGGTGATTACAGCTTGACCACTAGACCACAGCAGCAGAATAAAAGCAAAAAACATCATTTACTTCGCATTGCTTTTGGAACTAAAACTACAGAAACCATAAATATAAGGAAAAAATATTGTTTGCTTTCCAGAAAACAAACTCGTTACGATTAGTAATATTATGAATAGCTTTATATAAAGCGTCCTTATCGTCGTCGTCAATGGGCAATCTGAACTTGGGTCAATCGTGCAGTCAAACTGCCACCGTGTCCACGAATTTCATCGGCTGAAAACAACACAAACACTTTAGAATATGCGTATGAGTAAAGTCAATCGTAGTAAGTAATCTACCGACTGCTTGCTGCCCAGCAGAACGTTTATGTTGAGATTCACTTTTTTGCGGTTCTCACGAGGCTGACAGTCAAGAACAAATCTACGAAAGTGGCCAAAATGAAAAACACAGCAACGCCGCCATTAAAACGAAAACAAATACCGCTTAAACAACTCAACCTCGCGCTCAGCTTCGTCGACGGTATTCGCATTTAAATCGATATTCTTCGGTTGGAAAACTTCGTCTGGTACGCAGAACAAAGCAGTCATCGCAAACACAATGCACAAAAACACAATGCTTACCGACATTGACTCGATTGAAGAACGGAACGCCGTTACTCAGATTTTGCTTAGCCTAAAAATTTAGAGCTCAATAAAAATTCATTATAGCGAGACAAACTAACAGCATAAAACTTTCTTGAAGACGGTCACCCATCTAGCATATCGGAGAACAGCCCTACAACTCTAATGACAACAATTAAATACAGTTCGTTAAATTTAATGCATCTGTCTTCCATTACCATCGTTAGTTTTTACAGTTAAAATACTACAAACACGCAATGTTTATTATTGTCATAATCTTCAAAGCATTTATTCCTCATAAAAACTTTCTTAAAATAAATCCCGACGCTGTTTCCTGAAATTGGATCTATTTTCAGGGAACACTGTGTAACAAGCACAATGGACAAAATCAGCAGTGCCTCTGTACACCTTATAATGATTTTAAAGTGTAGATACGATTCAACGAATTCCCGATATTTACCGTAACTCAAGCCGAAACATTTTGATGTAATTAGGCCTTTGCCTTCTTCACCACCTCCTTCGTTATCTTCTTCTAGACTAATGACAAGTTCTTTCAGCTGTCTCTGTCTAGACATGTCTGTAACTGTATGTCAGCACCTTAAAAAGTTGAAACCGGTTCGGTATAGCAATGTATAGGAAAATTCTTTCAAT